CGTACATTAAGTCGTACAATTCTTTGCTTTAGCAGTTGTGCATTGCGGTTCCACACGCCACAATTTCATGATGCCCAATCCACCAGTCTGCTACCTTCCATACTCTCTACTCCTGATACCGTTGGAGGTCGCTAGACCTATATATAACATTTTCACTTTGAATTCACCACTTTTCAAAACAAATTCACCCCTTTTTGAACCAATCAGCTTTTCAAATCAAACTCACCACCACTTTCCAAACCAATTCACGGCTGGGTGATTCATCAAGCAGATCAAGCGACACCACTGCGAGCCCCGCCCCGACGGCCACGCCTACTTGTCAGCGCGGACATAGATTTTCAAATCTTGTTTCATAACTTCTGCTTATGTGACTTTTCTTATCTTTTGCTGTTTCCCACAAACACTGACTGGAAACGACCGGGTATGACACATGGCCGACTACGCCCATTCTCTAAAGGGTTTAGCAATCTATGCTCCGCCCTCTCAGCCACGCCCACCTGCTTTTTGCAGAAATTTGATATCTTTTCAAAACGTCTGCATTTCTGGACTGATACGTGAAGCCCTGCCCATTAGGAGAGGCTCTGCCCACTTTGAAGATACCCCGCCCACTTTTAAAAATGGTGCAAATCGGCAGTGTAAGTCTCGGCTGGCATGCTAGGGTATTGCTGATCATTCGGAACAAACTTTGCCTGATTTTCTTGTTCCGAGTGATGACCCACTCGTTTTCAGTCAAAGTGTTGTGGGAAACAGCAAAAGACAAGAAAAGTCACAGAAGCAGAAGTTATGAAACAAGATTTGAAAATCTATGTCCGCGCTGACAAGTAGGCGTGGCCGTCGGGGCGGGGCTCGCAGTGGTGTCTGGCGTGATCTGGTTGATGAATTGCCCGGCCTAATAAGTGTGGTGAATTTGGTTTGAAAAGTGGTGAATTCAAAGTGACAATTGTATATATACTTTCACTGCCGCTGGCGCTGACGGATGTGAAATACTGGTGGTCGTTGTTGGATGGTGCCACAAAACGCTCATCATTGAGTCAGAGGCACTTTAGCAATAAAGTCTAATCAAATCTCGTTAGTTCGTACCTAAAGTGTCGCAGGAGATGATCTCGTACTCGTCGGTGCACAAACTATCGTACTGATCATTCGGTGGCATCAGTGTTTTGTCGTCTTTTTTATTATAACTGACGGACATGGACATCCTGAGTGTTCAACATTAACGAAATCTATATGAATAATGCAAAACAAAGGAGAGCACAAGGGTTTCTTTTAGATCAACTCTAGCAGAGGGTCTTGTGACACAGTCTGGCGAACGCAATCGGTTTAGGGCATTGTTTACAGTCTGTGCTATCGGTGAACACACAAAAAATGAATAATCATGTATCGATTGAGAGAAGGAGTTTTTCGAAAGTAGAGAAGGCGCAGTCAACCAAATCGATGCTCTTTGAACCCCTCTCCCACCCCAAGTCTCCGACTATCTCAATCAACAATATTATTCCCTCTCCCACCGGAAGATTGTGGACAATGAAAAACATATTAAACGGATCCCAGAACCTTTGATGATTAGAGACAATCGCTGACGAAACGCATGACATGAGCTGACGAGGTTTCCACTACCCATAAACTTTCCTATCAAGCGGGAGAGTTAAAAGGTTTCTTCTCGATCGCTGATGAAATGTCAATGATTCATATGAGGAAAAAAGCACAACAAATCATCTGATCTGTGAGTCTGGTGCAGTTAGGCGATTTTTTGGGGTGTATTTTGCAGTTTCCTGCTTCCTCACTGTCGAGTTCATTGCTTTACAGGAGCTAAGTAATTCCTACAAATTCTGACTAGTGTCCCCAGGTTTCACAAACCTCTACTTGATGGCATGGCTTGACCCGACAGAAGAAACGGAAATGCAAAAATCCACTGCCCAGCGTCAAACTGCACCGGGAGCTCCTCTTGATCTACAGCGCCGAGTAGGAGAACCAGATTATCTGGCGTACAACTTGACTCTACCCATTTGGCGGACCAAAGAATCAACGAAATCGATTCTTATCCAGTACGGAATTATCGCTAGAATAGTTTGAAGGAACATCGAAAATTGCTGACCATCACTTCACTAATGGACGACACGTCACCAAACGCGTTTTTCGTTCCTCTCTTTTTGCATCTCTAACGCCCTCACTACGAGTTGTACTCAGAACACGTCCTGGCATTGGGAGCATTTTCCAAAATAGGACCCCCACAGTCCGGCGAGCGGGGAGGTCCTCGTAGATCAACTTTCGTAAACAGATGGACTGCAGCAACGCCCACTTAATGGGGAGTTCGTGCGGGCGGTGCTGCGACTCGTAGTTCGTATAAGGTAAAAAGGTGTATTTATGATCATAGTGAATAATACAGTTTAGTTTCATTTAATCACTACCCCTTCCCCACCCTCCCCCCGCCCCACCCCCCTTTGAGCAATATCTTATGTTGCCATGAACCATTTTGAATACTGAAGGCGCTGAGGGCTGTTTTGATGTGCCCAATCAACAACGAGTCTCTCCAACGCCAGCCCACAAACGAAGAAAATGTAAGGAGATCTTGGCCCTAGTCTATCCTCCATCGCACCCTAGCTCGCCCCTCGTCCCCCTGCCCTGCTGTGAGGGTGAGTCGCCGGTTTTTTTTTGGAAACTTAGCTCGCGCCGTAAGGCAAGCTACTTATCGAGTAACAGGGCTCCGTGGCGAGATCTATGCCCGATTTCTTGAATTCTAAAGTTTCCGAGTTTCGAGTCTGAAAGTCTGCACTCTATAAGTACATCAGTCGGCTCGCCGGCTAACGCCTGGCGCGCCTCCTTCTGATACGGCCGGCTGCGCCGGGCGAGCGCGGCTTCGCCGCGCGTATTTCTTTCACA